CATTTTGCTACATACTTGTTGTAACAGGGTCATTGTTTTACTGCTTGCTGCAGCTTTAAGATGTTGCCTCTCCTTCTGTTTCTCAGTGAAAGCTCTTTAAAGTGATATTAAACCCAAAATCAAACATGTATTATGTTGTAGCTTACCAGCGCATTAGTTTTCTTCTTTAGGCTTTCTTTCTTCTATTTCCATCTGGTAAGCCAGAGGGCCAGTCTGTTGTTTTTCAAAGCACGAGCCCTCCAGCAGAATGGATCAGTTTACAGGAATTAGGCAAACCATTTACCACTGGCAGGCGCTATTAAAGTGATTATCAAGGCTTACATTTTTTCTTTTTTAAAATAACAACCATGTCTACACTTACCTGCTCTGTGTAGTGGTTTTACACAGAGCAGCCCAGATCCTCCTCTTCTCGAGCTCCTGGCCACTCCCTCCTGTTGTTTCCCCCCCCCAGCAAACAACTTGCTATGGGGGGCACCCAAGCATGTGCACTCCCCAGCTGCTGCTCCGTGTGTCCATTCAGCCCCCCACCCCCCTCTCTCTCTCTCTCTCTCATTGGCTCACTGGCTGTGATTTACAGCAGCAGGTGCCCTTTTGACCTAAAGGAGTGCTGTTTGGACGCCATGGATGTTTCTCAGTTTCCAGGCAGAAAGAACGGTAACAATGCAGGCAGGGCGCCGGACAAAGCACTCGGGACAAAATGTATGAGAAATGGTTTGGTACAGTAATGGAATACTAAGAGATTACAATGTATTGTGTGTATGTCAAATTTTTACTTTTTTTAATCTCTTGCCATTTTCGCCCCCCCGTACTCTTGCAGGGAATGGAACCAGGAAAACGGATGCCGGCATCGGCCGGGGAACACAGTGGGAGGACCTCGCGGGATCGTAGGACAAGGTAAGGCTCATGGGATTGCTGCAGTGTAATCCCAAGTGTTGCTCGAGGTTACCGCTTTTGTTACTGTAATTAACCTTGAGCCCAGGGGGCAGACTGACAACTCATGGGGCCCCCAGGCAATAGGGGATCATGGGGCCCCTGTGTCCTTGCCCAAACTCAAAAAAGCCTATGAAAAAGGTACCAGGGGCATCTCATGGGGCCCCCTACTGACCCTGGGCCCTCGGGCAGTGCCCGAGTTTCCAAATGGTCAATCCGCCCCTGTCCGAGCCACACTCGGGATTACCGCCAGGAAGGTTAAGGCCCAACTCCAAACTGTGCTGCCCCCCCCTTAAATGTTGCAGTGCAAAGGAAAGGGGGGCCCTTCCTTTGCACTGCAACATTTAAATATTCTCTAACTCTAGATAGAGATGGAGAGGCTGTGTTACTCCTTACTCCTCTTCTCCTTGACGCTCCAGGCTGCGGGCAATCCCTGGGCATCCTCTCATACACAAAAGGGCGATTTGTCCTGGATTGTATGTAAAGGAAGGGGGGGGGGGCATTTGTCCTGGATTGTATGTAAAGGAAGGGGGGGGGGGGCGATTTGTCCTGGATTGTATGTAAAGGAAGTGGGGGGGGCATTTGTCCTGGATTGTATGTAAAGGAAAGGGGAGGGGGGCATTTGTCCTGGATTGAATGTAAAGGAAGGTGGGGGGCATTTGTCCTGGATTGTATGTAAAGGAAGGGGGGGGGGATAAATCATTTGTCCTGGATTGTATGTAAAGGAAGGGGGGGGGGGCATTTGTCCTGGATTGTATGTAAAGGAAGGGGGGGGGCGATTTGTCCTGGATTGTATGTAAAGGAAGGGGGGGGGCATTTGTCCTGGATTGTATGTAAAGGAAGGGGAGGGGGGAAGGGGGGGGGCATTTGTCCTGGATTGTATGTAAAGGAAGGGGGGGGGCATTTGTCCTGGATTGTATGTAAAGGAAGGGGGGGGGCATTTGTCCTGGATTGTATGTAAAGGAAGGGGGGGGGCATTTGTCCTGGATTGTATGTAAAGGAAGGGGAGGGGGCATTTGTCCTGGATTGTATGTAAAGGAAGGGGAGGGGGCATTTGTCCTGGATTGTATGTAAAGGAAGGGGGGGGGCATTTGTCCTGGATTGTATGTAAAGGAAGGGGGCATTTTTCCTGGGCATTTGTCCTGGATTGTATGTAAAGGAAGGGGGGGGATTTTTCCTGGATTGTATGTAAAGGAAGAGGGGGGGGGGCCCTTAGAGGGGAAGCTTCAATGGACTAGTTACAAAGATGCCTGCAGGAGTGAAGAATAACGTGAGCAGTTCCGCCCTGCAAGGGTCATTTTTGTCTGGTGCCCAGAGTTGGGCTTTAAAACTGCTATTCACAACAGCACATCGTCAGCGCTGACTTACTGCCAGAGTGTGAGAGATAATATTATGATCAGTGGGGGGTTTTTGCTTCTAAATGGATGAGACTGAAGGTGGCAGACGTGCCAACACTAGTGAAAACATCAACACTGGATAGGATATGCATAGTGAAAAGTATACCTTATGACGCGGCTCCAAGCTATAGATAGAAGGGAAAAGATCACCCCACCGGGAAGTGAGAAGAGGGGAGCATGAGTCCGAGCGATTCCAGTGTCAGCCAATACAAGTGAAGGGATGAACGCTACTCAGTCGACCCCAGGAGTCCAATGTTGAGGAATGGCCTCAGCCACCATTCTGGCCATGCCCTCACCCCATGTGGCACAGTAACAGGCTCCAAGCTATGGATGGAAGGAAAAGGATCACCCCACCAGCAAGTGAGAAGAGGGGAGCATGAGTCCGAGCGATTTCAGCATCAGCCAATACAAGTGAGGGGATGGATGCTGCTCAATCGACCCCAGGAGTCCAATGTTGAGGAATGGACTCTGCCGACATTCTTGCCACGCCCTCTGACACGTTTCAGCTCATCCACTGGGGCTTGGACACCTCTGTGACCTCTGTGACCAAGCACTGGTGGGCAGAGTGAAACAAGTCAGAGGACGTGACCAGGCCATTCCTCAACATTGGACTCCTGGGGTCGGTTGAGCAGCATCTCTTCACTTGGATAGGATATGCAGTTACAGTGGGTGATATCATGAAAACCTGCTTCCTGCAGAGTGTGGCACCTTTTTCTATAGCAGTTCTGGATATGGCCTTTATGTATTGGAGACTGAAAACAGCCAAGTTGCCTTGGAGTTCTTTTTAACCACTTGTCCTCCAGAGGATTTACCCCCCTTCCTGACCAGACCTCTTTTGTTACTCGGAGCTGCACTAATTCAACTGATAATTGCGCGGTCATGCAAAGCTGTACCCAAACAAAATGTATGTCCTTTTTTTCACACAAATAGAGCTTTCTTTTGGTGGTATTTGATCACCTGTGCGCTTTTTATTTTTTGCCCTATAAACAAAAAAAGACCGAAATGTTTGAAGAAAAATGATATTTTTTTACTTTCGGCTATAAAAAATATATAGTAAACACATTTAGTTATAAATTTAGACTAAAATGTATTCTGCTCCATGTTTTTGGTAAAAAAAATCCCAATAAGTGTATATTGATTGCTTTGTGTGAAAGTTATGGCGTCTACAAACGATGGTATAGATACTGCAATTTACACCATTTTTTGCTATATAGCGCTTCACTAGTTTAACGGACAATTGCGCGGTCATGCAATACGGTACATAAGTGAAATTTTTTGTCCTTTTTTTTTCACACACAAATAGAGCTTTCTTTTGGTGATATTTGATTGCCTGTGCGCTTTTTATTTTTGAAAAAAAAAACAATATTTTCTCATTTCGGTCATAAAAAAATCCAAAATAACTACAATTTTGTCATAACTTTAGGCCAAAATGTATTCTGCTCCATGTTTTTGGTTAAAAAATCCCAATAAGTGTATATTGATTGCTTTGTGTGATAGTTATAGCGTCTACAAACTATGGGATAGATACTGCAATTTACACAACTTTAACTTTCTGACTGCCCATCACATTTCTTGAGGTGCTAAAATACCAGTATAGTACAAACACCCCCAAATGACGCCATTTTGGAAAGTAGACACCCTAAGCTAGAGAGAGCATATTGAGTCCATGGAAGATTTATTTTTTTCCACAAGTTTCTGGAAAATGACAAAAACATCTGGACAAGGAACAGTTAACCACTTCCCGTCCAGCTCATGTATATAAACATCCTCCCCGCTCCCTGCTTGTGTGCGCTCCCTGGGAGAATGCAGCACCGCGATTCGGTGCCCGCTGTGTACTCCGGACACAGCGGAACACTGATCATTGTACGTGTGTGTGTGGTCCCGATCATGTGATTACTGATTGGCCAATCAGTGATCACATGAAGAGTAGTAAGCAAGATGGCACTTCCTGACATCATTGCTTACTACATGTGAAATCTGTAAATGATCACAGAGGTCACATGGTATAGGGCTATTCACAACAACCTTGTACCATGTGGCAAGCTGTGACCAATCACAGCTCTCACAGTAGTTCTCAATGGCTGCAAGAATGCATCCAGAGAGAAGGAGAAATTATTGCTTTTACAGCCTTTATGGGTGCAAAAGCAATCAGTGTAAAAAAAATTTTAAAAAATCTTCATCGCCCCCCACAAGTAGTACAGTGTCAGTATGGTGACACTGTACTGCTAGGGTGACAGTATTTAAAAAAAAAAAAGAAAAAAAAAAGATAAATAATATATAATAAAAATAAAAATGTAAAAAAAAAAATTGAAAAATTATACATTTTTGGTTATAAACTAATTTGGGTTATTTTTTTTTTTTACTAAAAAGATAGATGAATACATTTTGGGCAAGATTTATGAAGAAAGATTATTTTTTCAAAATGTTTTTTTCAAAATGTTTGGACTTTTTCATTTACATATCAAAAAAATAAAAATCCTAGTGGTGAATAAATATCACCAAAATAAAAGTTGTATCTGTCTCAAAAAAATTATAAAAATTCATATGGGTACAGTGTTGCATGACCGCGCAATTGTCATTCAAAGTGTGATAGCGCTGAAAGCTGAAAATTGGCCTGGACAGGAAGGGGGGGGGGAAGTGTCCGGACTGGAAGGAGGGGAAAGTGTCCGGACTGGAAGGGGGGGAAAGTGTCCGGACAGGAAGGAGGTGAAAGTGTCCGGACTGGAAGGAGGTGAAAGTGTCCAGACAGGAAGGAGGTGAAAGTGTCCAGACAGGAAGGAGGTGAAAGTGTCCAGACAGGAAGGAGGTGAAAGTGTCCGGACTGGAAGGAGGTGAAAGTGTCCGGACTGGAAGGGGGGGAAAGTGTCCGGACTGGAAGGGGGGGGGAAAGTGTCTGGACTGGAAGGGGGGGAAAGTGTCTGGACTGGAAGGGGGGGGGAAAGTGTCCAGACTGGAAGGGAGGGGAAAGTGTCCGGACAGGAAGGGGGGGGGGGAAGCGTCCGGACTGGTAGGGGGTTAAAGTGTCCGGACAGGAAGGAGGCGAAAGTGTCCGGACTGGAAGGGGAGGGAAAGTGTCTGGACTGGAAGGGGGGGGAAAGTGTCCGGACTGGAAGGGAGGGGAAAGTGTCTGGACTGGAAGGGGGGGAAAGTGTCCAGACAGGAAGGAGGTGAAAGTGTCCGGACTGGAAGGAGGTGAAAGTGTCCGGACTGGAAGGGGGGGAAAGTGTCCGGACTGGAAGGGGGGGGGAAAGTGTCTGGACTGGAAGGGGGGGGAAAGTGTCTGGACTGGAAGGGGGTTAAAGTGTCCGGACAGGAAGGAGGCGAAAGTGTCCGGACTGGAAGGGGGGGAAAGTGTCCGGACTGGAAAGGGGGGGAAAGTGTCTGGACTGGAAGGGGGGGGAAAGTGTCTGGACTGGAAGGGAGGGGAAAGTGTCTGGACAGGAAGGGGGGGGAAAGCGTCCGGACTGGAAGGGGGGTTAAAGTGTCCGGACAGAAAGGAGGCGAAAGTGTCCGGACTGGAAGGGGGGGAAAGTGTCCGGACTGGAAGGGGGGGGAAAGTGTCTGGACTGGAAGGGGGGGGGAAGTGTCTGGACTGGAAGGGGGGGGGAAGTGTCTGGACTGGAAGGGGGGGGGAAGTGTCCGGACTGGAAGGGGGGGAAGTGTCCGGACTGGAAGGGGGGGGAAAGTGTCCGGACTGGAAGGGGGGGAAGTGTCCGGACTGGAAGGGGGGGGGGGGGGGGAAGTGTCCAGATGGAAGGGGGGAAAGTGTCCGGACTGGAAGGGGGGGAAAGTGTCCAGACTGGAAGGGGGTGAAAGTGTCCGGACTGGAAGGGGGGGAAAGTGTCCGGACTGGAAGGGGGGGAAAGTGTCCGGACTGGAAGGGGGGGAAGTGTCCGGACTGGAAGGGGGGGAAGTGTCCGGACTGGAAGGGGGGGGAAAGTGTCTGGACTGGAAGGGGGGGAAAGTGTCCGGACTGGAAGGGGGGGGAAAGTGTCCGGACTGGAAGGGGGGGAAAGTGTCCGGACTGGAAGGGGGGAGAAAGTGTCCGGACTGGAAGGGGGTGAAAGTGTCCGGACTGGAAGGGGGTGAAAGTGTCCGGACTGGAAGGGGGGGAAAGTGTCCGGACTGGAAGGGGGGAAAGTGTCCGGACTGGAAGGGGGTGAAAGTGTCTGGATTGGAAGGGGGGGAAAGTGTCCGGACTTGAAGTGATTAAAAAACACTTCTAAACGCAAACGCTTATAAATGCAGTTAAATTAGTCTGTTTGAGGATACCGGGGTTCATTCTTAATGCCAGCAGCTTGATATTAATCGTGCGCTCACTTGCTATATATTTTAGGTTAACCGCGTTTACAACGCTGATAAAATCTACTCCAGAACACAAGTTTGGTGCGTTAAAAAAAAACCCACTGTAAACTCAACTGCCTGTAAACGAAGACGTGTACACAGACACCTAGGAGAACATTAGGGAGAGTTCAGGGGCTGCTGAAAAAAATGCTGAACAGCTCCTAAATGTCAGTTTCTCAGCTGCAGTGTACATGAGGCCTAACTGTCTATTATGCAATCAAAGCATCAGACAGCACAAGGAAACCAATCAGGATTGTACTGCAGACTCCGGACTGATCACTGAGAGGAATTCTGGAGGGAGACGGTTTCAGAGAATGTCACACAGAGGTCCCGTACAGAGATCGGTGTTCCCCGGAGGACACAATGGGCACCGGACCGCGGTGCCGTGCACCCCCAGGGAGTGCGCACAGTCCAAAATGGTGGGCACCGTTTATGAACGGCAACCATCTCCTGCACTGCCCCCTTCCGGCTGTTTATATACATGAGGCGGATGGGAAGTGGTTAAAAAACGCTTCTAAATGCAAACGCTCATAAACGCGGTATGCAAACGCGGCTAAACTGATTTTTTCTAACCTATGTTTTCCAGCAGTCAGTTTCCAGCGGTCAGAAGTGTCCCGTGTACATGGAGCCTCAGAGGAATTCTGGAGGGAGACGGTTTCAGAGAATGTCATGAAAGGAATCCTCTATGGATTAGAGCGGGGTGGGCAACTGTGGCCCTCCAGCTGTTGGTGAACTACAAGTCCCATCATGCCTCTGCCTTTGGGAGTCATGCTTGTAACTGTCAGTTTTGCAATGCCTCATGGGACTTGTAGTTCTACAACAGCTGGAGGGCCGCAGTTGCCCACCCCTGGATTAGAGCATTGTCAGCCCAACACATTGAGATGGATGGAACAGGCAATTCTGAAGGACCCTCTGCACACTGGTATATACCCTTTCAAGCAAACTATGCAACAAATAGGGATATTTGGTTCACACATATTGCACCTGATGGATAAATGCATGCACTAGCTGTATGGATTTGAGCACAGGGACTGGAAGGGGGTGAAAGTGTCCGGACTAGAAGGGGGGGAAAGCGTCCGGACTGGAAAGGGGGGGGAAGCATCCGGACAGGAAGGGGGGGGAAAGCGTCCGGACTGGAAGGGGGTGAAAGTGTCCGGACTAGAAGGGGGGAAAGTGTCCGGACTGGAAGGGGGTGAAAGTGTCCGGACTAGAAGGGGGGAAAGCGTCCGGACTGGAAGGGGGTGAAAGCATCCGGGCTGGAAGGGGGTGAAAGCATCCGGACTGGAAGGGGGTGAAAGCATCCGGACTGGAAGGGGGGGAAAGTGTCCGGACTGGAAGGGGGGGGGTGAAAGTGTCCCGATTGGCAGGAGGTGAAAGTGTCCGGACTGGAAGGGGGGGAAAGTGTCCGGACTGGAAGGGGGGGAAAGTGTCTGGACTGGAAGGGGGGGGAAGTGTCCGGACTGGAAGGGGGGGAAAGCGTCCGGACTGGAAGGGGGGGAAAGCGTCCGGACAGGAAGGGGGGGAAAGCGTCCGGACTGAAAGGGGGGGAAAGCGTCCGGACTGAAAGGGGGGGAAAGCGTCCGGACAGGAAGGGGGGAAAGTGTCCTGACTGGAAGGGGGGGAAAGTGTCCAGACTGGAAGGGGGGGAAAGTGTCCGGACTGGAAGGGGGGGAAAGTGTCCGGACTGGAAGGGGGGGGAAAGTGTCCGGACTGGAAGGGGGTGAAAGTGTCCGGACTGGAAGGGGGGGAAAGCGTCCGGACTGGAAGGGGGGGAAAAAGCGTCCGGACTGGAAGGGGGCTGAAGCGTTCGGACTGGAAGGGGGTGAAAGCGTCCGGACTGGAAGGGGGGGAAAGCGTCCGGACTGGAAGGGGGGGGGGAAAGCGTCCGGACTGGAGGGGGGGGAAAGCGTCCGGACTGGAAGGGGGGGAAAAGCGTCCGGACTGGAAGGGGGGGAAAGCGTCCGGACTGGAAGGGGGGGAAAGTGTCCGGATTGGAAGGGGGTGAAAGTGTCCGGACTGGAAGGGGGGGGAAGCGTCCGAACTGGAAGGGGGGGAAAGTGTCCGGACTGGAAGGGGGGGTGAAAGTGTCCGGACTGGAAGTGGTTAAAGGACATGCAGAGCCTGCTTGTCCTATTGGCTTTTGCAGCCAGAATTTTGCCGTGTTTTTTTTTCTAAACGTTTTTTATTTGGCAATTTCGGGCTAAAATCTCCTTCCTCTCATATCCGACTGACTTCAGATTTCAGAGAAGACCTTCCAGTGTGGTCACAATTCTTAGAACACTTCAAAAGATCCTTTTGTTTGTGATCAGGAATTTAGTTTATTTACGGACGTGGCAGGATCAGTGGGTTTTGCGGCATTATGGAAAACCCTCCGGTGCGCAGAGTCGTGGCCCCCCCCCTCCCCTCCAGCAGTTCTTTTGGAATTATTTCCTATTTTGGTAGCCATAGAAATTTGGGGTGAACATTTTCGGAATAAACGTATTCTTGTTAACACCGACTATAAGGGAGTATTATAATGTAAATGGTGCAGCGCTACTAATTATATACAGCCAGCACTAAATATATACTCAGAAAATGCATGCAAATAAATTAAAATAATCACAACTGCATGGGTGAATAAACACCCTTAATAAACATATATAGCATAGAATGACATATATCAATCACTTGATAAGGAAAATGTATACGAGCGCCAAAAAATCCTCAAAACTCAACCTATAAATGTCAAGTAGCAGCTGAGCACCAGGTAACCATAAACCCCAAAAAACAATATAAATCAGAAGATGCAGCGCTACAGAAGAGGAACACTATAATAAAATGAATATATGGATACAGATAAGTAAATAAATGAATAAATGAAATAAAACAGTTCATATGATAATATCAAGGTGACTTCAAGTGCTCTCCTCTATTTCATATCCTCCTGATGATCAGGTACTGTGCGAAATAGTGCTGAAGAAATGCACACTCACCAGAACGCACAGTAAAATGAGCGTTTGTAGATATAAATTTCCCTTGGAGTCATCAGCTGGTCAGGATAAGGTCTGCAATATGATAGCCTCCCTCCAGAGCTCCTGGATATTCCTGTGTAATCCCTTGGCAGGTAGCCTGTGGACTGCTCTTAATGCTTACATACGTTCCTTTCCCAGCAGAGAGATGAGTGGCTGTAAATTGATACTCCCCAAGGGAGTCAAGACAGAGACATATCCATAGTGTAGTAGGTAAATCAAAATGGTTTATTTCAGGTAAAACAATCGGTGGTACACAGCAGTGTATAGGAGAAATGTGTGGACTGACCGTCCAATGTTAAAGATGGCCGCCGGAGCTCCACGATGCTCCGGCGGCTTGACGTCACGGCGTTCCTGGCTCCTCCTACGCGTTTCGTGCACACGCACGTCGTCTGGGGGGATTTGCCAATAACGCCGAGCCGTGCGACGTCCATTTATATGCTAGGCGCATGCGCATTAGGAAGGCGCCATGTTTTTGGAAGTGTGATACACAGATGTCCGGATACTCGTACGGGCGCCATTTTTCGTTGGATTTGTTATATATACACACTATTATAGCAGCAGTATGTATGGTCGGCCGGCTGTCATTATCGGATACATGTAATGTGACCCCATAACAACCTATACCTTGTATTTAAAACCTGGGGGCCGATCAGTATATAATAATTTTTTGGTAATGAGATAAGTATTATTTTCCAATTAGCCTAATTAAAGTGCGAATCGAATCCAAATAAACATAGAGTTATGTATATGGCGCTAGCATATAAACTATAAAAATATACATATAATATTCATTAACAAATATGCATAATAAAATAAATTAAAATGAGAATCAAAATACCCAATGTTATGCAAATGCAGTTAAAATAATGGACATAAATAAGTCCTTGCTAGAATTTAAAATTGGTACATATAAAATTCCAAGAATATACATTTTTAATTGTCCAGTGTTAACCAGTCCCAATAAGTGACAATAGCATATTATAGATGACAAAGTGAAAATTAAATGAAATAGAAAAAGATAAAATAGATGAAATGGAATAACATCATCTTATTTCCTATTCTATTCTCTTAATATGGCGATCAGAAATATATGGCCCAAAGAGTTTAACTGTTATTAATGAAACAATTTAGATCTATATCTATATTGTGGCCTTTTGGATGCAGGGTCTGGAGCTCATGTATCCAGCGTGTTTCAAGTTGTGAGACTACCCGCAATTTATTAACCCCCCTCCAATGGGGTTGTTACTATATCTATCCCAACAAACTGTAAAAGATGATGGATCATTATTATGTTTCCGTTTAAAATGATAAGACAGTGAATGATCCTTGTATCCCTTTTTAATATTATTAATGTGTTCTCTCAGTCTATCGCGTAAACGTCTAGTAGTACGTCCCACATACTGGAGTTTGCAAGAACATTCAAGGAGATATACTACTACATTTTTACTATAGCATGTTATACATTTGTCTAATTTGTATGTTCTTCCTGTTGTACATGAAGTAAAAGTATATTGTTTATGTTTTCTTACGTTATTAGTCGTACAGATGACGCACTTATTGCAAGGAAAAAAGCCTTTTATGTTTGGTGCAAAAGAGATCTTATCTGGGGGGTTGATAACATTCGGTGCTAATCGATGTCTCAACGCCATAGCTTTTTTATATATAACTTCCGGTTTCTCTGGTAGAATTTTGGAAAGGATGGGATCCGCCATCAAAACATTCCAATTCTTTTTTA